CATACGTACTACGAAACATGATTCAACTGCATAAATCTGCACACACATACACGTATTCACATAAACTCTATATATCTCTGTTTCCACATATGCTTCAACAAACCGTTTGTATGTCATCCTGATACCTGCTTACTTATTTATGAGCATAGGCGCCGCCTGAATTCTGTAAGAGGCTTCTCGAGAATCCGGGAGATGGGGCCAAAAAAAGGCACGGGGGTCCCGCCTTGCGGCTCAGCGGACGGGTTTATTTAGGGTTTATTGTTTCAAGGGTTGGATTCCTGGTATTGCGTTGTGCTGAGCCGCCTACGAGTAGCGACTAGACACCCCGTGCTCAGCTCGCGAAGACATGCATACCCTGAACCTCAAGCTAGTCAGTGATGTCTAGGGTATATACTCTTCGCTTACGCCCACCATTTTCCGTAACTCCCGCATCACTTTCGGAGAGAGGCTAAGCGCCTTTTAGAGTTTCGTTGCATGTTCCAAGGGATCAAGGCTGGGCTGCAGGTCGGCTGAATGTGTTCTGGATATACACGCCGGGCGCAGTGGAATCGCAAGCGCAGCAACGTTGTTTTTATCTACGTTGGAAAAACTATCAGGCCCCTTCACACAGAATCGGTAACTTCAAATCTTGGAACCCCAAACCAAAAGCACCCCCCCCCCCCAAAAAAAAAAGGCAACTAAACCAAAAAGCAACAAGTGATGCCCCCTCTGAGGGTCGAGGCGAGCAGGCCGGCGTCCCTGAGTCTCTCGCACCTCAACTGCCAGCGCCGTAACTCGTTGTGAAAAGTAGGAACCGCCACAAGGACCATCACTGCAAAGATTAGTGACCAAAAACAAGGAAACTGCCACTGACCTTGGGATCTCAGAGGAATGACAACGAAACCCGCGGGAAATCATGAAACTTGTGTTCGAAGCTTGATGGCTTTGAGAATGCGCAGGCGCCTTAAGAGCAGTTTACGGGCCCGATTTTTGTTCTTGCATCTCTCTCCTTTCCTGCACCAGGCATACTGTACAGTCTGGCGAGGGGTGGAAATACTGCGCGCCGCAGCAGTTGCAGCTACTGGCCTGCAAATGTTGATTTTGGGAGATTCAAATTGCTAAACAATCGCAGAGGGCTGCGAATGACTGAAGCTTTGAGAACCAAGCGATTTCAAGACTTCGGCCGCTGCAACAACCAGTCGGCTAGAATCGTGCATGAGTCAGTCCATGCGGGCTGACTTCGAAAAAACTCCGGGCCAATATTACTGTGTATTGTGCACCCTCCCCCCAAGTTGCTGGAAGATTTGTGGTGCAGAACTACAGCAACGAAACATGGAATCACGTAGTATTGCAAATGTGAGATTAGTGGCCGTCTTGGCCAGGTGCGATGGGCTTTCGCTGCAGACAAAAGCTCAGGATATGCAGGCGAGGAGGTACAAAGGCATATGGACGTCTAAGCTGGTTTAGCCATCGTCGAAGTCGCTGTCATCATCCTCGCCGTAGTAGAAGAATCTTGTTCGGATTAAATTTAGCGGGTAAAAGCAGCATTTATCGTTCTATAGCCTTCCTGGCGGTAGCAAAGGCCTATGTCGTCGTAGCAGCTGCAGCTGCAGCTGCTGGATACGTTAGCTGGTAGCAATAATAGTCAATAGTCTTCTTCCTTCTCCTCTCGGTCCTCCTCCTGCTCCCCCCCTCCCTGCTCCCTCCTCCCTTTCCTTCCCCTCCTCCTCCTCCTCCTCCCTTTCCTTGTCCTCGTCGTCTGGTCGCGACGACGGGCCGCCGCCACCGCACCGCCGTCGTTGTCGCAGTCGCAGTAGGAGGATTGCCGAGAGCACTAGAATAGCAGAAGAAGTGGCAGTCGTAGTAACGCAAGCAGGCAGAGTGTAGAGGCGGCAGCGGGTGGTGGATTGTTGCAGGTATTTCTGCAGACGATGCTGCGTCAATTTTGGTTAGTGTCGGGATTGCTATGCAAGATTCGCCAAATAGGTCTGCACAGCCTCAAAGCGAGCCCACACCATGCCAAGAAAGACCTCTGAACAAAAGGCCAGGTTCGGCCGTGACCCTTTCCGGACACGACCCGTGGACCCGGCTCCCTGTGCTTTCGAATATGAATTAGAGAAAACAACTTCACGGCCCCACGGCCGGTGCCAGATCAACAAAGAGCGTGTCTGGCAACACAACGTGCCTGGCACGTCTTCAACCCTCGGCAAGTGCTTTTCAGGTTAGCACTGGCTCCCCGAAGTCTTCCCGGCGACGCTGCTCCACCTCTGCCTGGAAGGCATGCGGATTCTTCACCACACTGATGAGGTACGTGTGAAGCTGAAGAACATAGTGGCGATGCGTGGACATGTCTGGAGGTAGCGCATCCTTTGGGGGCTTGGTCTCGGCGTAGCACACCACGGAGCCACGGCTGCAGGGCACTTCTTCAGTCCGCATGGTGCTCTCGCTGCACCCCATCACGCAGAAAACGGAAGAACGCTGCAAGAGACCAAGCTAAGGCCAGGGGCTTGAAGCCGAATCGCAGCGGCAGTGTGACGCCGAGTCCCCTCGTTTTCCTTGCGGTTTTTCAATGTCCGGAGAGAGGGGCATCTCAAGCCCAAGGCCGAGGCTCTTGGTCGGGACTTCCAAATCCTCCCGGTCACGACAAGACCTGAAAGCCCAGACTTGCTCCCTTAAGGCCCTCTCAGAAGACTTACACTAAACCCTTATATGGCAGAAAGCTACCACGTAAGAAGGCCCACACCCTGCACCCTTCTGGGAAGAAGTTCAAACATGGAGCCAAACAGTGCTGGGTTCAAGTCTCATTCAGGATTACACGGCAAACCCTAAACTCTAAACATACACATCCCAAGTCCCAGAAAGCTAAACCCAACATCCTGAGTTCCAAACCTCTGCACCTTAAACCCTGAACCCCTCAAATGCAAACCCCTCAACCCTGAACGTTTCAACGCCCCCAAACCCAGCCTTAGCCCTTTCTATCCCGAACCCCCGTGCACAAGGGTTTCCTCAACAGTCTCGGTCAGAACTCTGGGGACTGAAAAGGCTCCTTAAGGGTGCCGTTGACCGCTACTTGAAGGGTTGCAGGATGTGAGTTGTTGGTTCCATCAAGAGTGCCTTGACGGGCGTTGGGGCATGGGGGTTTAAGAGGAGCTGCATGGCAGAGTGATATCCAGAAAACAGGATTCACGTAGCGGTGCTAGATCACCCAGGCGTACCTTTCCTGAACATCAGGGTGTTGAAGCTTTTGCTGCTGGTTTTGGGGATTCTGGATAGTGGTGGCAACATCAGTATGAACCTCCCGCCCTCTGAACTGGCGAGGAGACCAGTTCGCCGCTGACCTCCTTGGGGAGACCGGCAGGGAACCCCTAAGCCCTAAGCGACACCCTCAGTTTTCTGGCTCAGGCAGGTGTGGAACAAGGATCGCTGCAGGACTCTCCAAAAAAGCCTCTACGGTATCAGGTGGGGCCGCATTCACCCAAGCCTCTGCCCCCGCTTCAAATTCTGCATCCAAAGGCCAGCAAGTGCGCCGTAGGGCAAGGCCACGAGCCCAGCGAGGCAGCCGCGGCCCATGGGTCGGAGCTTGTTGTTGCTGCGGCTCTGCTGGAAGACAGCTCCGATCGGCGCAAGGTCGGAAGTTGATGCATCCTGTTTCTGAGAGCACAAGCGGTTGAATCCAGTTCTCATCCACCGTCAGCTCCAATTCTGACTCGCTTCTGCGGTCTTCTGCCCACTGCCAAAGTACATTCGCCAGGTGCTTCTCTGGGCTGAGCTTCACACCTGGAGATCGCCAGCCCGAGCAACTAAGGCAGGTCGGGTGCCGTTTTAGGAAACTCGCATTTCTCAAGGACTGGTGCGGAAGCACGAAGAAGGCTTCCGCAACACTGCGGGAGAGGATGAGTGCACGATCCAGGCCCTCGAGGTATCCAGCTTGAGCAGTCAGCTTCTGACCCCCATCCGGAAGCACCACAACGTGACCTTTCCAAAAATGACTGAGGTCTGGAAGTGGAACTACGTGCAGAAGGTCGGGTCGCAAAAACACTACCCAGTCCACTTGTCCAACGATCTCCTCTTCTTCTTGCAGGGCAATGTGACATCGGTCTATGCCGAGTAACTGCCGAGCCCACTTCAACCGGCCATGACCCTCACCGTGCCACCATGCCTCCTCTGAATAAGCATTGACCAATTCCGCGACATCCTCGTAACTGGCATCGTCCACGACGTCAACTCGCTGCAAGACCGCCGGCACAGGGCCGAGCTGTGGACACGATGTGGACTGCAGCACTCTCGAAAGCTGCGACTGGAGGGAGGCTGCCCCTGCTTCGACACCCAGATGGGGCTGGCTCGCAAGCGAGAAAAGAAGTAGCAAAGGAGCAGAAGTCCCAGCTGCCACAGGACAGAGGCTTTTGAACAGCTGCCGGGCCATGGGCTCAAGAAGTTCGCCAGACATGGCTCGAGGTTGTCCGGCAACGCAAACCGCAGCCCGCAAGGACTGACCAAGTTCTTGCCTGGGCGGGCTCGGAAGTTCCGGCCATCGAGACAGCGTCGATGTCCAGCTCACGTCGCGGAATTTGGAAGCAACTCTGGAGGACACTTCCGCCACAATGCCTGCTACAGTGCTCAAGCACTCGTGGCCGAGGGTCTGTCGCTCCATCCGCAAGATCTCAAAGGCAGAGCGAAGTCGATCCTTGAGCACTCGGAAAGCCACGGCTTGCTGCCAGCGAGGCCGCCCCGGAGCTTCCGTTTGAAGCTCCATGGAGGCTGCGAGCCTCAAGAGATCCAAGGCTTCCGAATGTCGGCTCTCCTTCCGCAACCAATCGCAAGGCTCAGAGGGGGCCTGGGCCAAGGACGCCCCCAAGGCAGCAAAGAAGGCCTGCCAGCCAGTCAGCGCCAGTATCGCAGGGTCGGGCAGTGACAGAAACCAGTTCGAAGCCCACGATATGCTACTGTGAGCAACAGGTTTCTCCCCCTGAGGTAGAAGCAAGAGCTTCTGCACCTCGAGTGCTGCTGGCTGCTGAAAGCCCATGACGAGAAGCTGGGCGGTGAGCGCTGCAGCTTCGCAACTCTGCCGCCCCAGTTCGATGGCTTCCAGAAGCAATGTCTGCACTTGTTGGTACTCCTGCGAATCAGGATTAATTTGGGTCCATATCCTCACAACCACCTCCAGCATGTCCTGCGAGCGCTGCCAATCCACATCGGCCTGAAATTGCAACGAACCGCAGCTACTCGCACAGAAATCAGGAGCAAAGTCCACCAAGCATGTGCGAAGGTAGCACCAGTTGCACGCAACTGCACGCGATGCCAAGGCGGATATGCACCAGTTCGCATAGCGTGACCGCATCAGAACCCGAACCTCAACTCACGAGGCCAACGGCCACCGCTGAGGCGGAAAAGGACGTGAAATGTTCTGAAGCCCCAACGAGACCCGTCTTATGTAGTCTGAAGCGGAAGTCGCAAGCAACTTTTGCGGAAAAAGACTGACCTGGCAGAAAGACTGGCGGCTATCACGATACGGAATACAATCTGGAAATCGTAAAATGATCAAGACACGGCTGAGCTCTCTGCAGGACCCTGTAGGCCAACTCGTGCATGTCAGCCTGGCCGGTCGAGGACGAATCAGTAGATTGTTGCAAGCACGCACACCCAGGATTGAGGGTGCTGTACGTTGCATGTTTTCGTAGGGCCTTGAAAGAACGGAGATTCCGAAGAAGGGGGGTGGAGTTTGGGTCTACGAAGGTACAGATTAGGGGTGCAGGGTTTGAGGATGTTGAGACTTACAGTTGCAGTCGGCAAAGCTTGGCAAGTGTCTGCGATACTCTGGCCCTGCAGACAATCTACGAAGGGCTGCTGCCAAAAATGGCCACAAAACCTCAACCGTCATGGCCACCACTTCTGCATGGCGACCCAACTCCCAGAGGGATCATTAGTTTTTTTTGTTCAGGGCTTTAACACCTGGAGTTGACCTCCTGGCCTGGCTTGAAGGGCTTGTGTAGGGTTCGTGTAGGGCTTTTTAACCACGACTGTGCCGGCTACGCTCTCATTGCTGGAATTGCGCCAGATGAACCCACTGCACTCCTGGCTTCATCGAGCCTCACGTCAAGACACGCGCACATTGCAGTTGTTCGAGACCTCCTTCCGGCTGTGCTCGCCGTGAAACATCGCAAAACAGTACCAACAGAATTAATCCCCCCAACGCATGCCAAAAAACAAACAAGAAATCGGAAGCAACAAAACCAGCGCAGTTCCCTCGAGGCTTCGGTGAGGGCCAAGGAATTCTCCATGTCGTGATACTTCAGAGGCTCTCTGAAAAAGAAAGGGCCGGGCCAGGACCGGATTCCCAGGAGCCACCACCATATTTGGACACGGCGCTCAGGACCCTTCAGGAGAGCACAACCGTAGCAAACTCCCAAGCCTCCCGAAAAAATGAAGGGTTTTTTTGCCTCGTATACTTCGCATAAACCCTAAACTACCTAAACCCTAAGCCCTAAACCTGAAACCGAGTACACAAACCCCATGCCGAGGCCACAACTGAGAACGGCTGCCTGCATAGCCTTCGCTCTAATGCATAAGCAGGCACAGGGGGTTCAAACCTTTTTTTTCGGGCTTCCGGTTCCTCGAACTAAGACATCCCCAGGAGGCCGATAAATACTCCCTTGCTCATAGCTGGAATCTACAACGAAAGCCCTGGCCCACGGACTTTGCTCGCTTTGTGTCTTAACCCGGAGCGTGTTTGAACTAGTAGGTGTTCGTCTGTGTCTAGAGTTGAAACAGAGGAATAGACAAATATGGTAGTACATCTGCTTGCGAACATAGACACGCGAGACGGCTAGGAGAGAGTGGAGGGGAGAGAGAGAGAGAGAGAGATTCAGATGGAGATACTAAGAGCGAGAGAAGCGGACAAAAACATGTATATGTATGCATGTGTGTATGTATGTATATGTATATATATATATATATTTAAATATAAAGTGTATACACATATATATATATACACACACACCCATGCTGACTCTCTCTCTCTCTCACACACACTCGCTCTGTTCCTCTCTCAAACTTCGTGCGCCCACATCCTCCATGAGCCTGATCCAAAGCCTTCCTGATCCAAAGCCCTACAGATGGGCAAAGGCAAGACACACCACCCACATTACAAAGCCGTCCCATACTGAGCCGTCCGGCTGCAACGGTCTCGAAGATGAGTCTCTGATCCGGAGTGAACTTCCCACTGGGCCAAGGGCCAAGTATTTCGGGCTCGGAGCTTGAAGAGGCTTGAACAGGGTCTGAGGCTTTGCATGGGTTTGGGGTCTGGCATTTGGTGGTGGGCATGCCTTGGTTCAGACAGCCCGGCAGCCTTTCGGAAGTTCTGTTTATGAGAGAGCCAGCAATTATCAATGCGTACTGTACCCACGGCCTGTCCACAACGGTCAGCAACCGCGGGCCCCTCCCAAAAGTACCAAGAATTCACACCATGAATCGTACCCCTACTCAGCCTACTGACAATCCAAAAACTTCAATTCCTCATGTAAAGAAGTACAGCTACCCCTAGAGTGTCGGGGGCTTGTAGTGCCCTAAAGTTTGAGGCATTCCGGGCAGGGGCGTCACTGCCGGTCACCCTGCCTTCCTCTATGCGCGCGCCGAAAAACCCTGTGTAATTTCGGATGGAAGCTCTTGAATATTCACATGTTTATGGCTATTCTGAAGGTTGTGTTACTGCGGGTTATATTACTCTGGTAATGGATTTACCCTTGCTTAGCCACTGGCTTTGCAGGGAAAGAGTTCGTGATGTCGGAGGCGTAGCAGAAGAACTCGCAGCCCATGTCGCACAGCACCATGTCTCCGTCCTGTGAAGACGCAAAGTCCCTCAATGTTTGTAACGCCTGGAGCCTTTGCACGAAACATGACGCTGTATAAAGTATAACAGGTTCTTAAACCAGGTAGGTACCTGCATTTATATGTACAAATACGTGCACATGTAAATAAATGAATACACACCCACACACAGACACGCATATATATATATATATACACATATATATATATATACAAATACATATACACATACATACACATACACATACACACATACACACATACACACATACACACATACATACATACATACATACATACATACATACATAAGTGCGCACACACACATAGTCGGAGTAGGAGTAGGAGTTTGAGGAGTAGTAGCAGCAGCAGCAGCAGTAGGAGGAAAGCCTTTGAGCCCCTCCTCCAGCTTTCGATCGTTCGGGGCCCCAGCGTGACCTCCGATAGCAGGAGGTCGTTAGTCACGGCCAAGGAGGTTCTGATTAGACTGTAAGGTTGAGGATGTAAAGAGGTATAACCAGGGCTTAATTGGCGTGCTCAACAGCTCCATTTGTAGGGGATTTCGACAGTGTCTGCTTTAGAAGTTGCAAGGTCGTTCGAGACCAGAACACACTTCAGGGGCTCGTCTTACCAAAACATCGGCATCGGCGAGACAGGCGACCTGAACCTTCGAATTCATGTTGCGATCTGAAAGCCCTCAGGTTGATCCTAGGGAGAGATCACAGTTCAAGGAGCCCGGATCGAGATGAGTAGAACTAGGATGAGCATTTCTGTCGCAGTCCGAGGTTGAGGCCGTAGTGGAGCACCTTGGCTTTGGCTGAAGGAGACTCCTTCCGCTATTGCTACAGTTCGGCCTTCTGCCTGTACCATAGTCATACACGTTATACGACCAGTTGTGTATAGCATATGCGTGTATCTGATATGTGTGGATATATAAATACATACAAATATATATATGTATAAAAGAAAGAGAGAGAAAGAGAGAGAGAGAGAGCGCGAGAGAAAAAAAAGACTCTTTAGCTTTGTATAATGCAGTAAAGGCCGTCAGTGGCAGTGTTTGTGAGCAGCGGGACCCAACCATTCTATCGCACTGCAGATTTGTTGGCTTAAGGCCTGTAAGGCTGTTAGGCTGCGAAGCACCGTGTCTTCTTGTTTCAGGATGTCTTATTGAAGAACACAGTGCGGTGAACAACGGGGTTCTGATCCTCAACCCGACACCCCCCGGCCCTGCAATCTGGCTAACACCGTTGCACGAGCACCTCAAGTCTTTACAGGCACAAAGGGCTTCATCAGCTCAGAATTCTAGAGTTCGCGGATTGAGGAGTATACGCCATACCTGTAACCCCAAACCCTACCAACACATTACGGACCCCTTCCCTGCAGCGTAAACTTCTTTAAGACTATATAACAGGTGTTTAAAACCACAAGTGGGTTGGAAAGTTTGGGATTTGGGGCCCAAGCAGGAATGAGTAGGCTTCATGGAGTCTAAGTCTAGGGCTTACCTGTGAAGGTCTCGGGTTCAACTTTGGGGTATCAGGATCGGGAAAAACAAGGCCTGGTAATGATAATAAGAGTCATGCGAGTAATCATGTCAATATTAAACTATTTTACTTTCGGACTCGGAAACGGGAAGGCCCGAATCGCCAAAAAAAGGCGGACGGCAGGCCCTGGAAGCCTAGCAGCAACAATTCAATTCTCCAAACCCCACGAAGACCCCCAAGTCTTGTAGTATGTTATCGTCTATTCTGGTAGATTACGTATGGTGTATTATACCAATCATTGTATACTACAACGACGATGTATCAGTGAATCCTAGACCCCACAAAATCCAGACCCAAACCCCCCACTTTCCCTGATACCCATAGCCCGACACCCACCAATAATTCTAAACTCCATACTTTACTTCAAACCGCTACCTAAAGACAAAACCCGCACATAATCTCGACAATCCCTGTGCATCCTGACTGTAAGGTGTTAAGTCTCAAAAAACTAGGTAGGTCATTGGAAAATGACAACATGCCACAACACCCGCTTTTCTGGCAATCAAGACTCCTGTCATCTCACCCCCCCCCCTCCCTCCAAAAGAAAAACCTGCTAAGCACCAACAAAATCTGCAACAATCAGGATACGGCCCTTAAAAGCATCTGCTTAGACTCCTAAAAGCCCCCTCTTCAAGCTATGAGCCCTACAGAAGATCCCTCAAGAAGCTCCTTCCATGGGCCCCGACGGCCGAGTTGGGCCCTGAGCCGGCAATGGGCGTGTAGGAGAGAAGCCGGCAACCTGGCCGGCCAGCAAGGGGTTCAGGAATTAGGGTTTTTTTTTAGGAATTAGGGTTTAAAGTCAGGGGTTTAGGGTTTAGGGGTTCAGGTTCGGGGTTTAGAGGAACTAGGGTTTAAAGTTAGGGGTTTAGGGGTTTAAAGTTCAGGAAGGGTGCCTTATGGGGTTTTGTATTGTAGGGTGTAACAGCGTAGGTATGGTCAAATTGCCGTGCCGGAGGCTTGTTTGGGGTATCGGTACAATAGGGTCTGATAGGAGTTCGGGAGTTTGATATAGAGCCCTTTTGGATTAGAGTAGTAAGGCTTCGAGATTTCCTGCGAGAATTATACTAGGGCCTGCCCCCGGGGGAATGTTAGCTATTCGTGCGTCCTGGGGCTTGAAGGGTAGGAGTATCGGCGCATTCTGGGCCTGTAAGCACTCAGATGGGTTTACGGCTCTGAGATTCATAAAGGCCTACATGGGTTCAAGCTTTCCGGTTAGGGTTTGGAAAGGTTCGGAACTTGGGAGTTACGTTGGGCTGTAGGGACGTAAAATCGTTGAAGACGTTTCTAGGTCTGGACTGAAGTTTTTCGGGATTTTGGGCATGTCCGGGTTGTTATCGGGCTCGGGGCTTCGCTCTAAAGGCCTTCAGATCTTAAGGTTTCACGATTTCAATTGACCTGTAGTGCTCAGCAAAGAGGCGAAAAGAATTTCGGAATCGTCACGTTCCGGAAACTCAATGGCTGAGAGCTGTGGGCATCTGGAGGTGACAGTCTAGCCATGCATAAACGCTTCTTATAGCTATTGCAGCTATTGTTTGTGTTGTCAGTGTCGTTACGAGTATAGGGCTTAAAAACTCAAAGAATTCAACCTGTGGGGCTTCACCGGCTTCGAAGTTAGGTTGAGGTTTCGGTTTGATTGGGAAGGACCCGGTCCTCCAAAATTTAGGGCCTTAGGGACACTGGGGTGTTTAGGGTTCAGGAGTTCAGGAGTTTCCCTGCCCTAACCTCCTGAACCCTAACCACCAGTGTCAGTATGGGGCCGGGTTCCTCAACAGGGATCCGGGCTCTAAGGGTTTGGGGGGCTTTAGTGAGCTCCTCTGTTTGGCACGCTATGAACAGTTTGGTGTTTAAACAAATTATTAAACGCGGTTGAGGGCTTACTCTCCGGGTTGAGAGCCGTCTTGGTGTAGCCGGCTCAATAGACCCTGAAACAGGCTTTAGGGTTTACAACATTCGAGCCTCCATTGTAGTGGCAGCCGTAAGCAAAAGTGCTTTCAAGCTGATACCTCAGGTTGCCCGCTGGTGCTGAATATTTTGCTGCTATGGGGCAGCGCACGAATCAACCTACTAGACACGGATGTAGCCTGCATAAAGCCACATGGCAAAGTCCAGCTTTCTTTAAGAGCCAGAAGCCGCAGGCAATGTGACGTGAGAGCAGAACGACAAGTTTGAGAGTATGACAGCCGGCAGTAAACAGAGACACCGCCCGCCAACGTCGACGAGGGCCCCACTCCATAATTCCGGGCTGCGCCTCGCGCATCATCGCCTCAGCTTTACATTCACTTTGAACCGAAAACCCTATGAATCCATTTAAATGTGATAAAGATTCCGGCATGGTTTTAGCACGAAGCCGTGCCCACACTTTTCCAGAATGTGGCAAAGCTGTACTTTTCGGTAACCATGCTGCTGTATGTTATGCACCAACACTAGTAGTAAATTACGAAGGTTCTACATCCCGAGTATATCTGCGGATTCAGGTTTTAAGTTCTATTCTATGTGACCAGGTTCTGTGGTGTTAACCCCCGAACCTTTTGAGCTCTTCAGAACCCAGAGTTGTCTTCAAAGCGGGATCCAGGCCATATGCGCATCCGAAGAAATCCGGTTCACGTACCGGAGTAACCTGCTGCGAGGGCTTGCGAGTCTGTTGTACTCCACATCTGGGAAGCAACTCTCAAGTAGAGAGAACCCTAATCGCTTCCAGTTTCAGCCTTGGCTTTCGGTTTTTCCTAGCCTCAAAGGCCTTACAAGGCCGGTTGCGAGTATGCAAGGCGGCCTGATCTCTTCTGCGTTCTTGCGGGCCTGGGCGAGAGCTATGGAGACGTCAAGAAGTGGAAAGGAGCTTGCGGGGATTGCAGGGTCAAGGAATCCGCAAGGCCTCCAATCTTCTTGCTTCGATCTTCGAGCTCAAGACTCAGGGCGAGACTTTTGGAACAACCCAGAGGACGATGGGCGGCAGACCAGAAATATTTCGGACGCTAGGGGAAAAAGCCTGGTCGGTAACGAAAGCGGCTGGATGAGAAAACAAATATTGGCCGGTTGCTTTCCCGGAAGTTGCGAAGCCGTCGTTAGATGTCGAGGCATGAGAGACCGACCGAAACCCCAAACCCATACCAGGACCCCCCCCAAACCACGAACGAACATATCCAAGACTCGAAACTCCTCAGTCACTCCTCAAGTTTACCCTGTATCTCTGAACTCTAAACACCAAGTCACTAACTAAACCCTAAACCCTAAACCCAAAACCCTTTTTTTTCAGCACGGGCTTTGATGGTATGCCGGCAAGCTGGACTCTCAAGGTTTTCATGAGACTTTAAACCCTAAACCCTCCATCAGGAGCTTGGCTGTCGAGATAGGGCCCTGGCTCTGCATTCGTAGACCACCTCGGAGCAAAATCATGGTTACAGTATGCACATACATACATACATACATACATACATACATAAATACATGTACATGTACATATATACATAGACATATACATAGACATAGACATAGACATAGACATATACGTACACATACACATATACATATTACAATATAGCGGTTTCTGTTGTGCTTTCGATGCTATTCGGATCGGCCTTATAGGAGTCTTGCGATACTGTGGGGCTGGGGGCCTGAGGACTCCCGCACTTAAGGCCTTCAGGCGAAGCTTGCATTTAAACCCGTAGAAAGAGTATCCATACCCGCCTTTGGGTTTAGGGTTTAGGGACAGCAAGCTCCCACACCTACGGATCGATACTGAAACCAGTTGTGAAAGGATCTGCCCGGAGACCCCCCTAGCCCAGGAAGCTCTGGGCGGTTTGGATCTTGAGCCCCCCAAGCCCAACTCGATACTTCCGAGAACGAACCAAGACAGAAGTACAAACTTCCCTTGCGATTGAGAAATATTTCAAGTAGTATGGTACAAGATGACCTATCACTCTTCAGCATCTCGTGCTGCAACTCACATGGCGTGTTGTGATTTTCCAGTCTCCCGCGCCTCCTGTTGTTGAACCCGCGCTCTGTTCTGAGCCAGGAGTGGGACATAACTGTGCCTAGCAGGAAGCGTCCTGTCGGAAGAACCGTGACAGACCATCCTTACCTCTCTTGAACCTTAAACTCCCGAACTTCCAGAGCCCCAAGCCCTAAGCGCCAGAACCTGATGGGCCCTAAACCCTAAATAACCCCTAGAGCCCTGAACCCCAGAATCTTGGACCCGAAACCCCAAACCCCAGAATCTTATGCCCTAAACCCTAAACCCCAGAATCTTAGACCCTATAAGCCCTAAACCCCAGAATCTTAGACCCTAAGCCCTAAACCCCAGAATCTTAGACCCTAAGCCCTAAACCTCAGAATCTTATGAACCCTTGCAGGCATCGCAGAAAACCAGGCCGGGCACTGCGTGCAACGCTGCGGTGTCCACATCGTAGGCTTCAAGGCCCTCGAACTTCGCGGGGGCGACCTTCAAGTCGTTTAGCTTTGGGGTCTTTGGGCTTTTGGGGTTCTTTAAGAAGTTAGGTCTATGGCTTGGGGTCTAGCTTTGGGGTCTTGGGGGAAGAAGGGTTTATGGCTGGGGGTTTAGCTTTGGGGTCTTGGGGTTTAGGGTGATTTTGGGAAGAAGGGTTTCGGATCAGGTTTCGCTCCGTACAGCTCTGATGTGTATGGTCCAGAGCATCTTGCGTAGGACCTGTGGTCGGGCGGTACTTGAGCTTCTCTCCTGCTGACCTCGTCTGTAAGACGCTTTGCTCATCGGAGGCTAGGAGAGCTACAAGGAAGGGTGCCCAACTTGCCTAGGGCCTAGTATTGAACCACGTGGACCGTGGCTTTTTCCTGAAGCCCGCCTCGTTGCCGCTGTCGGAGTTCACCCCGCGCTGCAGATAGACTTTGCTGGGCGCGCGGCCTGGGCCCGTGCCGTGATGTGCCCTGAACACTACTTACCGGCACAAACGGCGGAACGGGACTAAAGCCTAAGCAATCGGTGATAAGTTTGTTTTACCGCGCCGTCTCCACACCATGATGGAGGTGACAAGGATGATACTGGCAATCATGGCCATAATCATGACGGTGCTGCTGGTGCTGCTGCTGCTGCTGCTGCTGGCGGTGGCGGTTGTGCTGCTGCTGTTGCTGCTGCTGCTGCTGGTGGTCATGGACGTGGCCGATGGTGATGGCTGTGGCGCATAGGGGTTTTTAGATCCCTGGCCCTCAACCCCCAAGCTTTGTGCCCAATCTTCATTCACTTCCGTGTCAGAACACCGCAGGAATCCCGAGCCCGAAAGGAAGCTTGAGATCTGATCTTCGCAAGAGGCTGGACACCCAACTGATCGACTCTCGGCTCAAACCGCCCAGAGCAGCTGAGAGGCGGAGCGGTTCAGGGCTTACGGCCTTCACGGTCTGATCGGATAAGTTTGGTCTATGGGCTTTTTGGTGAGGCGATGCTTCAGCTACAGGTTGCAATTTCGAGAGCTCTGCCGGGACGAGACGCAAGCTTATAGCCTCGACACGGCTTTCGCTGTGCGATCGTAGCCTTGCAAAGTGATCCTCAACGATTTCTGGGACTCAGCCCCCAGCTTTTAAACCACTCCGCAATCTGATCCATGTAGACCTGTGGCTGTGGCAAGCCTGGATGCACTAAGCAGTGGGTTCCTGCAAGCTGGGTTACCCGCCACTTCCTCGACCCCGTAGTGCTCTTTCATCTCCTCACAGCCGCTGATTTTGCCTTTGCCCAGGACCGATGAGATCATACTTCCGCATCCAGTACTAGTAACTAGTAGATGAGCACGAGATCAGAGCGCTGCAGTCACCACTGAGAAGCGAGCCCATCCAAAGCTCATACCTGACCAGAAACCACAGAACCACGTAGGCAATGGGCTTACCACCCCTCCCAGGTCTCAATGACGGCAACTCTTCAAAGAGGTTGCAGATCCATGAGTGTAGGTCCACAACTAAGCTCATGCCCCCAAGGGCTTGATGTTGTGCTACTCGATGCTTGCTGCAGATGAGCACCGTGGCTGTTGCTTGGCTTAGAATTGGATCTCCATCAAATGCCTCGACTAAATCGTGTACTCTTTCTTAGTCTTTCTTTTGCCATGAGAAAGACAAGAGCATCTAGAGGTTCATGGCACGTTAAACACAGGATGACACGTGCCGTCGGACAAAGAAAGGCTGTTGGAGCTTCGAAAGTACACACCCCCACATCCTGACGAATATGGAAATGCAGTGCTCAAGCGTGGCATCAGAGCCGTCCCTGCAAGCTTGCTTGCTTGCTTGCTAGGGGTGTGGGTCCCCGGGGGAACCCTGGCCCGAAGGCCTACCCCCTAGGCGCGCGATTGTCCGTCAGTACACCCCGTTTTGGGGTTGAGTGGTTTCGTGTTCCCCCTGCAAGCTCTCTCTCTCTCTCTCTCTCTCTCTCTCTCCAGCCTAAGGTAATTACTACTTACATACCACCTGCGACGACAAAAACATAGGTCTCTCTTAACCTCCAAGCAAATCGAAGCTCTTTGCTCTTAAAACTCCCACAACAGGTCTTTAATCCCACAGACCCAACCCCAAACCCTCAGGACCCCGGGGACCCCCAGAAGATGAGCCCGCTGACTCTGGCGGCAAGCGCGGTGCAAAGAGGGTAGCGGCCCCCGACCTCTGCGATCAGGGCGGTGGTGGATTCGGGGCTGCTGAGCTTTTCTAGGAGTTTCTAGGACTTTCCCGAGATTTGGGTTCAGAGGGCCCAGGGTTTAGCTATGTGCTGTCCAGGTTTTGGGTCGGCTTGGGACTTTCGACTGTCGGCTTCCCGACCTTCTAAGACTATGAGGGCTCACGAACCTAGGCGCAAACACCCTAAACCTTAAACCCTTTTTTTGAACCCAGACTCTGCTGATCAGCTGGGAAATGCTGGGAAAACCCCATACCCCTAAACCCTAAACCCCAAACCGGGTAGCAACAGCTCAGAAAGTATCCGCCAGCTTCGCTGAGCTGCGCACTCGAGATCCAAACAGCCTTGCGACGGTTCCAGAGGCTCCGAGTTTGACTGCGGATTAGGTTTTAGGTTGTCGGGTATGTAGCCTCGTATCTGCGTTAAAAGCTTTAGGTTTGATGAAGTCACACAGGGACAGATCACGCCCAAGCAAGAGCCTCTTGAGGTGGACCAATCTCTGGTACATGGCCACACCGGAGAGACGGAAGCAAAACCCACGGCTTCCAGAGGAGAGCTTCTTGCTTCGTAAAGTTTGCCAGCGCCCCCACAGAAAACCTCAACTCCCTAAGCCCAAAGCCATAACAAGCACGAGACCTCGGCCCAAGCCTCAAATGTTTGCCAAGGAGCCCATGAAACCTGGCTCTCGAACCTTCGTCGCGGATTTTGAACGCGTGGGCAGATGTTTTTTTAAAATTCTTTGAGCTCTTGTCTGTGGAAGACAAAATCTTCACATGCCTGAGGCTCAGACCCCGAAAAGGTAGTGGAAGGTGCTCTCTTGGCGGAACACATCCTCGAAACAGCAGAGCATCACTGAGACTTCAATTCTGGTCCCAGTAACTGCCTCTGCCAGCAGGTGAAGCGAGAAAGGGCTGCCCGCTCTCTCTCTCCCTCTGTCTATAAGAGGCTGGTGCTGGTGCGTCTGCTGGTACTTGCTGTCACTACGAACAGCAAAGTTCAATGTTGCTTCTTACTCCTACCTCTATCAGGCCCCTTAATTTTCACTCACTAGGCCTCTGTCGAAGTCTTACCTTCAGTAACGGTGCAAGACACTACAACCCATAGTGACACATGACGGTGTGAGATCCCACCCAGAATTTTGGTTGATCCTGGAGCCCAAAGAGTGGCCGAAGCTCAGATCGACCCACCAGAATCGGCTCAGCCCAACAAACATCAAGCACGCCAGCCTAGAAGGACAAACTCTTCCCCAAACCTGGACCAGTCCCCCCTAAACCCTAAACTACATGGCCTCATGGTCTGTGTCGTGTCTCAGAGGATCCCCCCCTCCGGCAAACAGGAGAACCTGAAGCTGAGGGCAAGTTGCGTGGGACTTGCGAGGCTTCTACGGGGCTTTCGGTTGTGTTTGCGACGGTTTACCCATAGGCTCCAAAGTAGCTCCTTTTTGTGGCTTATATTTAGGATCCTACAAGGTAATCCCAAAAAGGAACTGCTATGGAGCCTATGGGTAGAGCTCAGAGCACAGCACAGACGGACATACTCATACGAGCCCGAAACCATCCGAAACCCTACCACAGCCACCTGAATCACCATGATCATCCTTAGAATCCTTTGTTTTCCCTGCGCACAGACAAGTCGAAACCTGAGGAATCTTGAACACATCATGCAAACATCCAAAACAGCAGCGACAAAATAAAAACAATAAAACATTCACCGGCCAACAGGCCCTTGCCGTAAACTTGGGAGCGGAGCCCTGGGCCTCGCGTGATAATACAGGAACCTAATGCAGGGGGTTTAGGGCTTAGGGTTCTATAATTTAGGGTTTATGGGGTTTAGGGTTCGATAAATGAGGGTTTAGGGCTTAGGGTTCTATAAGTTAGGGTTCAAGGTTCTATGCTGGGTCTATAATCGTTCTTATAATCTGGTCGTACAGGAACCTGGTTAAGAAACCTTGGGTCTTTATTAGGGCTCCAGATATGGATCCTTAATGCTTTGGGGTTGTAGGACCAGGGTCCATTAATCAGGTTCCTACCTTACCGGTTTTCAGCCGAATCCTCTCCTTGCCTGAGACTTCCAGGCCCACTGGAAAAAATCTGAGCTGGGGGCTCAGGGTTCAGGTGGTTTGTGCGAGCTGACTTATGTAGGGCTTCGAAGGGTTTAGAGCTTACCTGGACCTCAAAAGCATGTAGAATAATAGCCTTTTTATAGGTTTTGGGCCATTAGTTTACCTACTTTTGGGGGTTTAGGTAGGGAGTTTTTATAAGGCTTCAGGCCAAAAGATGCCCAGGTAACTTGCGAACAGGAGGAGATCGCAACGGTCCGGGGTTCTCCTTCTGCCCGAACCCTAGAAAGCCCCATACCCCGCAGCATCTTGCAATACAGAAACCCCATATTCCTAGCCCTACACCCTTAAATCCAAAACCTATGGCCCTACACAACGACCCACAACTTCCTTTTTGCAGCAGGCTTCTCTGGCCCCGAACTGCCGTCGCCGAATAAGCAGCGCAGTACTCCTGTCCTAAACCCTACCCATAGGCCGCCCCTAAGTAGTTCCTTTTTATGG